GGATCGGTGCATGTGCATAGTTCCCTTCGCCCGAATGTGAGGGCCAATCTGCGCTTCGGGAAGGAGGGCTGCAGCAGGGAGAACCTTCCGCGAGATGACGTAGTGCAGGCTGGGGGCGAACGCTGGGGCCTGGCCCACGGATCAGGCAGGCGGCAAGGGGGAAGGGAAGCTCGAGGTACAGAGAGATAGAAACAACTAGAGAAGGGAAACATAGCGTAAGTAAGCAGCTGACAGAGTTCCAATGCGAACTATTGCAACTTGCGTCCATGGTATGACAACTCCAAAAAGAAGAAGAAAAGACGGCATAGCAAACGTGAACTATCGGAAGTCGGTCCTCTCCCACCCTTCACCCCCCCACCTTGCGGGGGAACGACAGGGGGTGACCGGCTCAGGAAGGGAAACATTGCCTTGGAATCGGCGGTGCGTCGCCGACGCATCGGCGACAGGCCCTCGGTGGCGAAACCTCGCGCTCCAGGTGTCCGCGCGCCTCGAGGGGCAGACAACTGCACAAGCATCAGCTCCACCCCTCAGGACCCCCTCTTGGAACCGCCGACCACTGCCCTCTCCGGGCGCGGCGCTGGCCCGTGCCCTCTTGGGCCCCTGCTGTCCGCCTGAAGGTGCCCGCGCGCCTCGAGGAGCAGACGGCTGCACAAGCAGACACCTTCGGAACGCCGCGCGGAGCTCTCGCAGATGGGAGCCCGATCCCCTCCCCCCCCCCCCGGAGCGCGGGGCGCGCCCGGGTCGGCGCCGCCGCAGGGCTCGGGCGCCGCTCCGAGAAATCCGCGCGGACCTCCGAGAGTTCGTGTGTGCGTCTCTGCTTCTGGCTGGTCGGATCACACCGAATCCAGCTGCGCAGAGTTAGCAGATCCTCGGGCAGGCGTGTGCCGTTGTCAGTTCCCAGAGGGGCCAGAAAACGCGCGACACCATCCCGCCGACGGCCCCACGGGGCTCAGCAGGGATATACCCGGAGCTCTGGCGAGAGTTCTCGCCGGGCAGACGCCACGACACCCGATGGGCCGCAGCGCACGGAGGGCCGCAGGTGGGGGCGGCGTCGCTTGTTCTTGGGCCGACCCGAGCCCAGCCTCGGGGCGCGCAGGCATGGCTTGGCGATTCATGGAGTTGGCGCGCGGTCGCCAAAAATCCATGGATCGGGGGAGGTGCCCTCCCCAAGATGCGGCCGGTGCCGCCTCCTTCGGCGGCGGAAGCCCGCGCGGTTCCCCACGGCAGCGGGGCCCGTAGCCAACCCACGCCCCCCTGGATTCATGTCTGCGATCGCCTGGCAGGCGTCGTGCTGCCACGAGGGCCGTCGAGGAAGGAGCCACGGCGAGCCTCGGCCGCGGCGAGCCTCGGCCACGGGCAGCTCCCCGGGCTCCCCCGAGCCCGGGAAGAAGTCTGGGCCGGCCCGAGGGCCGAGGAGCCCCGCCCCTGGCGCCATCGCTCGGGCGTCCAGTCCCAGGTGCAGTGCTGTGATGTCGTGCGTGTATGCCTTCAGATGGTGCCCCAAGGTGCTCCTCGATCGCCGAGAAGTGCACAGGTCTGAGCGATCGTCAGCAGTGGAGAGACCCCTAACCGTTTGGGAGGGGACCTAAGTGAGGGGGGCCAAAAGCATCAGGGATAGGGGGTCTGTTCTGCTCATGTATCGGGCTAAACCGACCCAGAATCGTCATCCCCAATGCGAAGGCGGGGGCCTAAGAGAGGCCACGTCTTCGGTATGCGACATTCGGGTTCGGGGCTCTTTGATCCTCACGGAGGGCGATGCCAAAAGGCCCGAGCCCAAAGTGGTCCGCAGTGGCCCCTGCTTCAGCGTCCTGCCTGTGGCGGTGGAGAAAGCCGCAAGAATGCACGCCCCGCACCGAGATCCCTCGGGGGCAGGCCCGCCCTGGGCCTGGAGTGGGCGAGTGCGCCCCCCCTCGCTTGGCCGGGGGGGCGCTCGCACCGCGGAGGCTGGGACCGTGGACGATCGGTGCAGGAGTCGAGATTCGGTGCAGGCTTAGCAAACTTCTCAGACGGCCAGGCGACTTCCCAGCCTTCTAAGAAGCCTTTGCGAGAGGCGTTGGGAGAACGATAGAGAGAGAGAGCGAGGAGAGAGAGAGAGAGGAAAAAAAAACAATAAGAATAATAATGATAATAATAACAAACAAACAAACAAAAAAAACGCTCCTCCTCCTCCTCCTCCTCCTCCTTCTCGCTTCCCCCCCCTCGCTCGCCGCCGATGGTTGCCTCAGGACACTGGGGAGGCATGGGGTGGCCGCGGGCACCTGCGGGCGAAGGCCCGGCCCTGACGCCGCAGGCCGTGCGAGGGGGGCCGGGAGCGCGGGCGCGCAGGAGTGGATCAGCGATCCGTGGATTCGGCGCGCGGTCGCCAAGTCCATGGATCGGGGGCCCGACTGACCCCTTGCCGTCGCTCGGACGTCCATTTCCCGTGCATTTTTCGGTTTCGTGCGTGTTGCTTTTGCTCGATGGTCCAGGATGGTCCTCGATGGTCCTCGCCGAGAAAAAAATGCACACGTCCGAGCGATGCCAGGACCCATGGCTGCTGAAGGTGATCCCGAAGCCCTGCACCCCCGTCCTGCCCCCGCCGCCTCGGCCGGGCGACAAGGGGGGCGCATCGGGGGAAAGGTGAAAGAAGGTAGCACGATCTCTGATCACGGATCGGGGGAGGTGCCCTCCCCAAGATGCGGCCGGTGCCGCCTCGCTCGGCGGCGGAAGTCCGCGATTCCCTACGGAAACGGGGCCCGTCGCTAATCCACGCCCCCCTTGATCCATGTTTGCGATCGCCTGGCAGCTGGTGCCTCACCTCCAGGCCGAGCCGCACTGGTGACGCGCACCAGGCCAACACTCAGGATGGCGGAGTTCACGAGCTTCCTGCTGAGCCTGGAGACCGAGGTCCTATGTCCTATACGCCATGGGCGAGCCAGGGGCAAAATGGTCCTAGAGTGTACCCAGTTGGGGCCCAAGTAGATGGGGCTGAAGGTTCGCGCAGCATCGCCGATGCATCGGCGATGCATCGGCGATGTCGGCGATGCGTCGCCGACGATGGCGTGGAGAAAATCGGGCTCCACATCGAGCCACATCGTCAATGCATCGGCGATGCGGCGCGATCCCTCGACCACACCTGCTCGGAATCCATCTGGGAGGCTCAGAGCCCCTCCTCTCGGGCGGGTGTGAAGGGGGGCCTGACCTGAGTGGGGGGTGAAGAAAGGGCCCTTCCTTCACCCCCCATGTAGGTCAACCTCCTTGAACACCCGCCCGACCTCCTCTCGGGGATCTAGGATCCTGCAGGATCCTGCGGGATCCCGCACCCAAACCCGGGTCGGTGCGCCACCTGGCCCTGCAGCATCCTGCGAGATCCGGCGCTCTGACCGACCCCTGCTGGCAGCGACCCCCCGCTCTTGAGCCCCGACCCCTCCTCGGGGCTGCGCACACGGGGGTCCAGCGAAACGGGGGCCTGGGCCTCTCCGCATGCCCCCGTGCGCTGTGCCCCCGTCTGCGGCGCCCAGGGCCCCCCCCTGCACGGGGGCATCGCCAGACGCGGACATCGGCGTTCCCCCGCACCCCCGTCTGCTGTGCCCCCGTCTCCGGCGCCCTGACCTCCCCGCTCGGCTACACGTAAGAGTGACCCTGGGTGAGAGTGACCTTTGGTGCGCGGCTTTTGGGGGGCCGCGGGGAGGCCAAATCTAGGCGCGCTAGCCGCTGCTACCGCTTCGCGTTCGGCCATCTGGGGGCCCATCAGTGCCCGCACTAAAGGTCACTCCGGCGAAAGGTCACTCTTACGTCTAGTCGACCCGCTCCCCCCCCCCCTTCGAGCCCCCGGCCTCACAGTGCACCACCGAGAAGGACGCGACCGACACCTCCAGCCCGACCCACCTGCGCAGCCCAGGGGGGTGGGGGGGGCGCAGGGCCACAGGAGGCCCCCCAGCGCCTCGCGGGCACGGCCGAGGGCGGCGGCACGGCCAGAGGAGCGGCCCAAGAGGAGGAGGAGGAGGAGGAGGAGGAAGAGGAGGAAGAAGAGGAGGGAGGAGGGAGGAGGAGGAGTAGCAGGAGGAGGAGGAGGGGAAAGGAGGAGGAGGAGGAGGAGGAGGGGGAGGAGGGAGGAGGAGGGAGGAGAGGGGCCCAGACATCGGGCGGGCCGGTGTGCAGGGGCCCTCGGGAGGCAGCAGTGGAAGCGGACCCGCATCTCGGGAGTCCCCAATGCTTGGCTTCCACGTGTCCTGGGTTCTCCCCTTTTCCCCTCCGTGTCCCGTACATTTCCAAACCGTCTCCTTGGAAGTGCGTGTGCATTGTGTCTGTGCCCGTTTCCTCCTGGTGATGCATGCAGCCCCCGGAGCCCTCTGTTTCGTCCCCCTGGTGGCATGCCCGGGTCGGTGGACCATCAGAAATGGATCCGGAAAGAAACAGATGCCCCCAGGGAATCAAGAAAACATTGCATCGCAGGAGGATCGATGGAGGATAGGGAGGGTAGCAAGTGGGGGAAGGGAAAGAGCAGAAGAGAGAGTGAGAGAGAGAGGGAGGGGAAAGAGGGAGGAGGAATGATAACAACAACTGCCCATGATAGGGAGAGGGCGAGGGTGACGGGGGGCAGGAGGCCGCGGCGAGAGGGGAGCGGAGAGTGAGATATATATATATATAGAGAGAGAGAGAGAAAGAAAGAAAGAAAGAAAAAACGAGAGAGAGAGAGAGAGAAGAAAACAGAAAGAGAGAGACAGAGAGAAAACCGACCAGCCCACAGAAAAGCAGACAAAGACAAAAAAAAAAAAAAAAAAAAACGGGAAGGCGGGAAGAGTGGGACGAGAAGGGGAGGCAGAACATGGAGGAGGGAGCAGGACGAGGAGCAGCCACTCGTCCTGCCAGTGTCAAGTCGACTGCCGCTCGAGAACCACCCAGACGCGGTGGCGCCCCTGGCCAAAACGAGGGGCGCACTCCGCCCCGGGCCGCGCGCCCTGGAGGGGGAAGGCTGAGGGGCGGGCATGCTCCGTCGGGGATCCACGGACCTGGGTCAATCCACACCCGGGTCAGCCAGGCCTTGCAGGATCCTGCAGGGTCCTGCAGGATCCCGCACCCAGGCCGAGGCCAGCGCGACCCTGGCTCTGCAGCATCCTGCGAGATCCGGCGTTCTGACTGACCCCCGCGTTGACCACCGTCTCGAGGCCGCCGACCCCGAAGGCTCAGAAGGCCTCCGGCCTCCTGACAAGCTGTCGGAGCCTTCTCCGAAGCTCCGCCGCCTTCTGAGAAGGCCGGCCCCCTCATGCTCCTCCTCCTCCTCCTCCTCCTCCTCCTCCTCCTCCTCCTCCTCCTCTGCGCTCTGCGCTGCCAAGCGATGCATCCCGTGACGACAAGATGCCCGCACTGCACATCACCCTCACCGATGGAGGGGCACGGGCACGACCGCCTCCGCCTTCGGCGCGGACGGATTCTTGCCCTGCTTCAAGAGGCGCAGTGACCTCTTCTTCCATTCACCGACAGTGCGTGCCGCACACCTCTCAGCTAGGTCTTTGACCTGCTGCTGGGCGTACACGCCGCACGCCGAGCACCACAAGACTGGCCCATTGGCCCAAAGACGGTGGGTGGGGTGGGCTTTCTGGAAGACCACGGGGATCCCTGGGCACGGCAGCTGCACAAGCCGAGAGCGCGCGACCCGCCCGATCCCACAGACACAGCATCCCCACCCACCAGGAACCTGTGATGTTTGGTGACCCTTATCATCTGGAACTATTTCAAGCAGGGGGGCCTCTGAATTAACATGGGTCCTCTGCCTACGCTCCTTGATGGCCTCCACGTCTGGGTACCCTAACTTGTGCACATGCTTCAACACCTCAGTCAGGAACCTGGCCAACAGGGTCACTTGATCATGATGAAATCTGATCCTGTCACGGACGTGGAAATTCATCGGGTGCGCCTTGGCACCCTTCTTGGCCCACTCGTCTGCGAGCCTGTTCCCATGGAAAAAATGAGGCGGCACTCCATGGTTGAATGCCGCACGCCGCGACTGGTGCGCAGCAATCTTGACTACCTGGACGTTCTCTCTCCCGACATCGACGACCCTCCTCCAGATCTGTCTCCAGAGCTCCGCATACGCCTTATTTGGGTGAGTAGTGCCTGCCTCCCCAGCCTCCCACCCCTCGACGACCATCTGACAGTCCGTACAAATCGCGATGGTGGGGCCCATGAGCGACAGGGCCATAAAAAAGGCGAAAAGCTCTGCACTGGGAACGTCCTGCACTGGAAGCGGTGACGGCCCGTACGCAATGGCCTCCACCTCCAGCATAGAAGAAACTGATGCTACTGCCCATCCTGCTCTGACCAACCATCGGTAGTCATTGTCGAACCCTGAACCATCAACACACACATATGGCCCCAGGGTTCCATCACGGTGAGGAGGATGGGCCCACTTAAATTCGGCTCCATGCAAAATCTTCGGGATGGACTCGCGGTCGCTGGGCACCAAAGCTCTCGTCCATCTAAGATCTGCCTGGGCGTTGATCCCTTGCTGCAGCAAGCGTCCCCCTGGGTCGAGATCACGCCGTAAAAGCCAGGAGCCGTCACAGCCCCATAACCTGTGGTGCACAGACCCTTCACGGGCCTTGCACCATCTGCAAAGCGGGTCCAAGCTGTATCGCTGCTTGAACAGATCTTTCTGCGTCCAGAGGCCTCCAGAAACCTGAGCAATAAGTAGGCTGATCCCAAGATGGTCCCCTCTCTTTCTCTGCTCTGCGATAACGCCTCTGATCGGTTCCAGGAAAGGCTCCCAAGACAGGTCGTAAAACTCGCTAACCTTCTTTAAACTGAGCTGCTCGGTGGTGTCGTCTACGAGGGCCTTGACCGCACGAGGACCCAACTCGCGCAGGTCCAGACGGAGCCCCGACGAAGTGACCCAACTACACCAGGAGGTCCCTGTCCAGCCCAGCCTATTCAGCGTCTGTACCACCGCTCCAGCTGGGCCTATGACTCCACTCCAGCCTCGAGCAGCATCTCTCTTGGCCTTGTCAAAGGCCGTCTGCATCTGCGCCTCCGATGACCACTGCAAAAATATTGCCTTGCACCACATCATGAGCGGCAAGGCGTTCGCCAGGAACGACGGGTCAACCTGCGGCACCTCTGCCAGCAAAAACTGCACTGCCCTGCACCTTCCTTTGGCTGGGCCAAAAAGCGCAGCTGCCGTCGTGGCACGCTGCTTCTGGAGTGCGGTGCTGGACATCCCCACCACCCCCACCCCATACATCGCAGCAGGCGTACCCCCTCCTCTGAAGACCTGCTGAATCGGTTTTTTCGAGAATCGGAACGCTCGATATCGTCGCACTCTGCCTCGCACAATGGCGATTCTTTTATTCGTCACCTGCCTGCCCTTGTTGAAGGCCAACTTAAAGTCTACGCCCAGGCTCTTGGCCGCGGGCACATACTTGAAACTGAACTCTCTCAAACTATGCTGCAGAGATCGGCCCACTTTGATGTCGGATGCCACCAGAATGCATTTCTTCCTGGAAACCTTCATCTCCAAGGCCTCCAAACCCCGACAAAACTGCAACGTTCCCGACACCAGTGCTTTCTTCACGAACTGCTCTGACCCCAACGCTTGGATGGTGGAATCGTCGACCATGAGCGCCAACCCAAGACGGGGCCATCTCGACATAAACCCGTCACAAACATCTTTAAGCACTATCTTCAACAGCGTCGTCGCGAACGAGCACCCCGCGACTATGCTGCTGTTGACTGCGAAAGGGAGGGACAGGGCCTCGCCCACCTTGATGCTGCGAGGCCCACCATAAACTAAGAGGAGCACTCGTATGCGTCTGATACTAAACCCATGCCGACGGCACGAACGAAGCAAGAGCTGGTGCGTCACTCTCTCATACGCCTTCTCGAGATCAATCAGCGTGCAGGCACTCAAAAACTTGCTGGCGATAGCCGCCTCGTTGTTATTCGCTTGCCTCCATACCGCCATCTCACAGCTCCGTCCCTTCCCCCCGTACATGTACTCCTTGTGGTTCGCCTCCTCCCATCTCTCCGCCTCCCTGTGTCGCAATCTCCCCAGAACGCGCACTGGCGTGGGCAAAATACCAATAGGTCGCCGCCCACCTTCTGGTTTCTGGAGGAAAGGGAGGATGAGCAGCGCGATCTGCTCGGGAAGACAAACGAACTTCTCCCACATGTGCAGCAGGAGACCAAATACACGAAGGCCTTCGTCACTCAGTGACTTCAAAAGTGCAGGCGGCCACCTGCAAGCCCCCACTGTCGTGCGCCTTTTAAACTTCCCAAGAACTCGGCGTAACTCCTGGGGCTCAGGTGGCTCTGGAGGGTCATCCATGGATAACGACTGCAGAAAATCGGCCTCTGGCTCCTTCAGGTCACCATACCTCCAAATACCCTTCCATTCACTTTCGAGGGCCTCAATCTGGTCCATCGCTCCTCCTGGGGTTCCATCAGGGCCTGGCTCATCTGTGATCCATTCATTCGGGACCTTCACCCACCTGTGAACCATACTCCCCCCGTTTGACACCGCCTCTGAAGCCCAAGATCTCCACTTCTTTTGACGCTGCCTGACCCAAGAAGCCTCCTCAGACTGGATCAGCTTGCTCAAATCAAACAAGGCGTCCCTGATAGAGTCCGCCTCGTACCCTCTGAAACTAAAATGACATGCACGCCGCTCCCGCCAGCCTGAAGAGTGCCAGAGTAACTCGGGAGCCTTCTGAAGCTTTCGGTTGATTTCACATACCTGCATGTCATCATCGTCGTATCCCTTACGCTTGAGGTGCCCCAACTCTTCAAGGCGTGTGTGGAACTTCCGCATCGCTCTAGATACTGGCGACCCGAGAGGATGTGGCCCGCCAACCTTGGAGCCCGACAGCTCCAGCTGGTACGTGTCCGCGAGC